GCTTTGCAAATAAATTCTTTAAAAATCAGACAATGTGATTTTCTGGATTTTTTCCCCCATTTTGTCTCTCATAGTTGAGGTATACCTATATATTACAGGCCTCTCTCATCTTTTTAAGTGGGAGAACTTGCACAATTGGTGGCTGACTAAATACTTTTTTGCCCCACTGTACATGCATGCACACACAAACACATATGCACTTACATGTTTCTTGGTATGTGTGCATGGGAGAACAGAATGATGAACCCAGAGGCTGGACAGACTAAGTCAAGAATTTGGAGCATACTGCTTATATAAACCAGGAAAATCAAGATCTTTAGTTTGTTTTTAAACAGGGATTGTGCAACTAACCAGAAACTGACTATTGTTAGCTTGAAACAACTGTAAGCAAGGATTTGCTTGAATTCATGAAATGGGAGGTGTGGTAAAGCAAGAAAAAAAAGCAATAGAAAAACAGCAGCTACAAGCTCCAGCTTTGCAAATAACAAACAAACAATTCATCTCTGCTCTAGTTTAAATACCCTAGCATAGAACCAGAAATGCTAGCGCAGCCCTCAAAATGAGCCCACAATGTGGGAAAGGTAGGTGTTTGCTGATGCAGGAGCAGCATCAAGCATGTATGTCGAGAGCCCATTATCTCAAACAGAGCATGTTGAATGACTTGGGATCACTTGACCTTTGCAGTAAAATTCATGAATGAAGAGACATTTAAAAGGTTAAGCTGAGAGCTCAAACATAGGAAGACCATCTTCAGGAAATTGGCTATTTGCTTAAGAAATGACTCAAGACAAAGCTAGGGACACTATTTAGGGACAGAGGATAACCAAATGATTTTAAAAACTGCAGTTCATCCCTAGTATGACATTCATATTAGCTCTGACCAGTAGAAGGAGTAAAATATTGTGACTTGATGCAGTAAGTTTGATGATAATTGCACTTTAGGGAATAACTGAACCTTCCCCCTCCAAAAAATAATTGCCCCATATAAAAGCCAGACAATGCATGCTATCGGATAACAGAGTAAAAAGTAAGAGATTCCAAAGAACTTGATTAATACAATGAAGTTATATCTGAATAAATTTTTAAAAAGTTCAGTTTGACTATAAACCATGGGTTTTGAGAAGCAGGATAAGTACAAATGTCAGTGCCATTTTAATATTGTCTGTTAGATCCCAGAAGCATTTGAACAATTATTATTTCATAAAGCATTAGCCACTGAAATTGACATCTAGGGGGTTCCTAAAGTCATCAGGAAACAACCTTCCTAAATGTGGTGTTTTCTTGATCCTCTGGGTAACTGTTTTCATCCACCTCAGCTATTTCAAGATAGGAATTACAGTCTAAAATATCTGGAGGGTACAAAGTTAGGAATAACTGCTTCAGATAAATAATGACTTAGAAGTTTACATGCATAAGGTATCTAGGGGTTCAGAACCCGGTTGTAATACACTGTACGATGGAGATTGAATACAAGCTTTAGAATGATTAATAATATTTATATGATCCAGCTTTTTTTGGTCTTCATAGAAAAAAGGCCACAAATTTTACATTGTTTAAGACTAGGAAACATTTTTCAAATCCACAGAGGAAACAGAACACCAATAAAGGCAATATGAAATATTATTTACCTGGTGCCCCCAAAGAGGATGATCTTGTCCCCTACCCTACAGCAGCACTGTCTACGGCGAGGACATGGCCCTTTCCCTTTGGGTTCAATTTTCTTCCAGGTAAAAGAGACTGGAGAAAACATATACACCATGAAAGACAAATATTGCAAGTCACTTTATTACAGATAAGCCAAAGGGACAATCTCAAGTTGTAGGGAGCTTATGTCAAATATAGATCCTAAACCAATGCCTTCAGCACCTTCCCTTCCACTCTGTTTCCCTACTCATTTCTTAATCAGAATTAATTATTTTGGGACAGCTGCATTTCAGATTACATTTCATGTAAGTTTCATAAAAAACAGGATCTTGTAGTATTTTATGTTTGTGAGCTTTAGTTTATTGATGTTGGATACATTCCCTTGAGGCTTCCTAATTTGTAATGGTGAGAAGATTCAGAATTTCAAGCATCAGAAATATTTCCCCACAAAAATTGTTTATTTCCACCTAATTGTTCCCCAAAATCTCCTTCCAAATGCAGTAAACATAGATAGATTATTAAGATGGTTGCTAAGGATATAGTTGCAAAATTATATATTTCCTTATAAGCACCATAAACCAGGGATGAGGAACTTGTGACTCTCCAAATTTTACTGAATGGCAGTTCACAGCATCCCTCAGCTTTGGCTATGTATTTAGCACAGTTAGGAGTTGTGATTCAACAATATATGAAAGCCCCCAGTTGTATATTCTTGGTATGGGCTAAACATTTTCAGAAAATGAATTCAGATTTCACACCTTCAGTTTCTTAGAAGCTGGTGTGAACCAAGAGACACTATATTACATATTTTCAAATAAAGTACTGTAAGCTCTTATAAATCCCCTCAGGAAGTCACAGATACTGCAGTTCAAGGATTCCAAATCATTTAGCCCTGAATTTATTTTAAATGCATTTTTAAAACATAAGGATCCTTGAAACATCAATTGCTTTGGAGGGTAAATGAGAATTCATAAATAAGAATCCACATAGCTTCTTTTGAAAACATTCTGTAGAAATAGGCTTACAGTACATAGTTTCTTGAAGAATATATGTAGATACAGTGCCATCTCTTGGTAATTACATGAAGTGTAGAAGCCAGAGAAGCCTGCTACGCTCCTCATTAGAGGGAAGAAATGTGCAAATTGATTGTGTCAATATAATAGCATAGATGGAAAACAGCTCAGTAGATGCTACTCTCTGGAAAACATTCGGATTAGAAATCCCCCTTGCAAAACTGCACAAAAAGAGTTGGGACAAACAAAAACAGCAATAAAATACAAAGAATTTATTTCTACACAGCTACTTTAAAGATCCAAAAAGAGGTGCTTCATATTCACTACCACGTGTTGGGAGAGCACCTCTAATGAAGGATTTACACAGCACTGTTATTAAAGACATGGGCTGATTGAGTGCAGTTTTATCTATCCTGTGGTTCATTTGGGGTTTTAATCTTTGTTTTCTGTGGTTATTTTTTGTTTGTGATACTATTCTCATTTTTGGGAATGAGGACCAGTCTTGAACCCTGGCAAATGCCTGGACAAATCCACACCATCGCTACTGCCTTCTTCCTAGCGCTGAGAAAGAGTGACTGGCTCAAAGTGCTGTGCCTAAGGCAGGACTAGAATTCACAGTCTCTTGGTTTCTAGTGCAGTGCCTTTAACACTATACCAAACTGGTTCTTATTCTGAAATTTAGGGGGGGGTGTGTTTATTTGATGCTGTATACTATCCAAAGTCCTTTGGGATTGAGGTGGCCTATAACACTGTGAAATAAATTTTGAGAAAAAAGAAGCAAGAGAGGGAGGGAGGGAGGAAGAAAGCTGTATAGAGTACTATACTGCTTCTATTCAATCTTCCAGGCATCCAGGCATATATTTCAGATACTACATTTCTGTTCCCACCCCCACCCCCTGCTTCAGTAAACAGTATTCTATGGCCACTGAACTTAGTCTTCCCTGGGCTGGGGTTGGTTTCTTGTCCTATTTTTTCCCTCTTTTTTTGTACTTTTTCAAACTTTGGGGTTCCTTTAATATGCTGGTACTTTATTTTGCCTGCAGTCACCAAATAATTTCGTTATTAAAGGAAATGACTGTTAATTTTTTTTCCAGGTTCAGAGATAATATTTCTTGAATATGGTAGGGGAAGGAGAACAAAGGAAACAGAAAACCCTTTATTCCAAGAAGCTCACAAGTGAGGTATGAAAGAATCTGGCTACTGGGGTTTTAGGATACTAGATTAAAAAGACCTTAATTTGATCCACCAAAATTCTTTTACTGTTTTTAATATCTTAAGACTAACAGATCTATCCATGCAAGAGCTATTAATCTACTTTAAGGACACTAAACCAGCCTAAATTATGACTAATTAAAAACAGATTATGAAATAAAATATTAACTCAACCACTGTATCTCTTCTTACATATCTTCAAAAATTAAGTAATAACTACTTTTTACACAATTGGTCCCTCAATTATAGAATTCTCAGCTGAGCAATATTTGCTTGGTGTTTACTATCTTAACTAAGCTAAAAGTTTTATTTTCCTGTTTTTGGCAGTTGATTGTGCTCTTTGATGTAATTATTTTTAAGGGGATTTCATACACAGTACTGAGATTGTTATGAGCTTAAAGCTCTGGAAAAAAAAGAAGAGTGTGATATAATTATTTAAATCTTGGGATTATAAATCATTGTGGCTTTTTTACTGATAGGAAGATCCTAAAGTGCAAATCAGTCTTCCATATTCTTACTCACAGGCTCAGCTATAATTAGAAATTACTCAGTCAACTCTAAATAATAACATTTACTGTTTTCAGGATGCTGGACTTTTCCTCTTCCTTGAGCACACCAAATTAAAGCTATGCAAATTTAGATAAATAAGGAAAAGAATGGGAAGAACAGGAATATTTAATACTTTCCAGGTTTGAGTGTGTATGTCCCTTGTGACATGGGAAAAGCCAAATAGAAAAGCCAAAGCTATTGAGTGTTGCAGGAACAGCCATGAGGAGGGGAAAAAATTCCAAGAGGCTTCTAGATGCTTTTCAGAATAGTACAGTATTCAGGAACTTTAAAATGAATACATAGAGTGGAAAGGCACTTCTTTCCTATTTTTTAATTCAACTCACTGAGGCTAAAAAGTAGTGTCTGAGCTGAAGCATCAAGTCTTAATTTATTGAGTGTCTGCCTAAGCAGGGATCTGAAACTGTATCTTCATGTACTATTCAATTCTTTAATACAGTAAATGTCAGTGAATGGTCAATGTTCCTCAGTGAAAAAGGAAAGGACATCTTAAAGATTTAGTATGATTACAGAGGCCCCTGCTATGTCCTTCTGTTCAGACTGAGAAGGCTCTTTAGCATGGGTTGCAGAGTTTCCATGGTTAAAGTACACAGGAAAAATGTGAGGATGGGTAAGATCATGTGAAAAAAGTAATCCGCTAAACAGCTTGGTTTTGGACTCCAACCGTCACAAAAGGAAGAAGATATATGTTCCTGCAAAAATCTGAACTGCTGGAATATTAAGCTATCAACTAAGAACTTATTTCCTGGATAAAATTAGAATTCTCCCCTATCCTTTCTCCAAACTATCAGTAGATGCTATCTCCCTGCCATAGCAGAACAATCACATATAAAATGTTCTTAATGTAGAAGCTGAATCCCATAATTCATACAGCTAATTTATCCCTCAAAAGCACAGACCACAAATGAGACTGCTGCCTGATCATTCCTAGACCTCCACAGTTCTGATACCCATTCAGAAATATCCTCAGTGCAGATACCACATGCTATACAAGCTAGGCAGGAAGGTCTGATAGTGCTGTTATTGGAGTAGAATCAACAAGAATTGATAATATATAAATACAATAAATAAATAAATAAATAAATAATTTACACCCAGTAAGTTCAGTATGCCCTGGATTCCTATCAATCATAGGTATATGTGTTGACATTGCACACGTGACTGATTGTGATGCTGTGACTGCCACGTTGCCTATTTTGACTACCCTGCAGACAATACCAGTCATAAGTACAGTGGTACCTCGGGTTACGAATTTAATCCGTTCCGTGACTCTGGTCGCAACCCG